TAGTGAAATGCTACATTTGGAGCATAGCTCTGTATGGGGCTGAAACATGGACACTTAGGGCAGTAGATCAGAAACATCTGGAAAGTTTCGAAATGTGGTGTTGGAGAAGGATGGAGAAGATTGGTTGGACCGATTATGTGAGAAATTAGAGTTAATTAGAGTCAGTGAGCAGAGGAATATCCTACACGAAATAAGAAAATGGAAGGCTAATTGGATTGGTCATATTTTACGCAGAAACTGCCTTCTAAAAGAAGTTATTGAAGGAAAGATAGAGGGATGGATAGAAGTGAGAAGAAGACGTAAGAAGATGCTGGATGACCTTGGGGACAGAAGAGGATACTGTCATTTGAAGGAGAAAGCTCTAGATCGCATTAAGTGGAGGAATTGTTTTGGAAGAGACTGTGGACCTGTCATCTGACAGATTATTGATGATGATAATTCCATTCCTGTCTGTTATATTAGGTACTTAAAATTACAGCATGTAAAATAAGCATTTGCCATTATTAAACTTTATTCAAGGAACTAAAATTTGTTGACAATTACTGAGTTGTGTCATTAGTACGAACATAATGTAGGAGAGTCCCAGTGCTCGAGGAACTTCTGGAATATTTCATATGATTAATATGCATCCAATAGAAATGATCACGTTTGATCTTACTTACTTACTTACTCATGGAGCTGAGCCCTTCTGGAGGAGCCGCCAATTCTGCAGCTACTCAAGAATTTCCCAGCATTTTATGGAACCCGAAGGTTCATTACCGTGTTCACAAGAGCCCTCCACTGGTCCCTATCCTTAGCCAGATTAATCCAATCCATACCATCCCATCTCTCTAAGATTCATTTTAATATTGTTCACCCACCTACACCTTGGTCTTCCCAGTGGTCTCTTTCCTTCTGGCTTTCCCATCAATATCCTATACGCATTCCTTGTCTCCCCCATTCGTGCTACATGCCATGCCCACCTCATCCTCCTTGACCTGATCATTCTAATTATACTTGAAGAAGAGTACAAGTTATGAAGCTGCTCATTATGCAGTTTTCTCCAACCTCCTGTCACTTCATCTCTCTTCGGTCCAAATATTCTCCTCAACACCCTGTTCTCAAACACCCTCAGTCTGTGTTCCTCCCTTAATGTCAGAGACCAAGTTTCACACCCATACAGAACCACAGGCAAAATTGTAGTTTTGTATATTCTAATTTTTATGTTTTTGGACAACAGACGAGAAGACAAAAGATTCTGGACTGAATGGTAGCAAGCATTACCAGAGTTCAGTCGCCTCTTAATTTCCTCCTGAATCAGGTTTCAATCTGTTATCGTTGTTCCCATATATCTGAATTGTGCCACATTTTCAAAACATCTGTTTCCTATCTTTGTGTCATGATTTTGCCCTGCATTTTGGTTACAGTATATAATAATGTGTTGATCTCCCACCTCTTAGGAAAATTGTAAAACAGAATAAGTAACTTTTACCAGATTGGTGGTGCCAAAATTAAATAAAAGGTTTCATCTTAAACATCCTTCCTCAATTTGATTTAGGTAAAATGTCACTTTATGATCACTACATTATCTTTCTTTGTTTCAGGCTTGAAATGCAGAGTGATGGAATTACTTTTTAGTTACAATCCTCTTTGGCTTCGAATTGGTTTGGAGGCAATCTATGGTCAAACTATTCCACTGGAGTCAAATTCAGATGTTCAAGGCTTAACTAAGTTCATTGCAACACGTCTGCTCTCTGATCCATATATAGTGCAGCAAAATTCACATCCAACAGTGCAACATCTCTTTCTGCCAGGATTTGAAGATGCAATGAAAAAGTTTTCTCTTAAAAAATTCCTCTTACTTGTTTACTTTTTGGACAAAGCTAAAGAAAGGAAACTTATCAGCCATGATCCATGCCTCTTCTGCAAAGATGCAGAATTGAAGGTAAATAACACTGCTGTCTTGAATGATATTTACCATAACTTTTTTTTTATATATATATATATAAATATCACCACTTTATTAGCTACACTTAGACACAGATACATAGAACTCAGCAGAAAGTCTGTGACTGTATGAACCCACACATACACACAGACCTTAGGATTATACAGAGTGTTTTATCCACGCTGAATATTTTTAAATTGCCTATTCTTTATTTCATGCTCGTCTTATGACAGTTGCTAAATCCAGATAAGTTTATAGCTCCCAATGAAAAAGGGTGGGTGAAATATCTAATGATAGTCTGTGTTCTTAATCTCTTGCAATCATAAGTGCCCTTTCCTCTCTGAACCATTTAACTTGTGGATTTTCACCATAACAGGGGTTTTCTTTTGTTATATAAGAAAAACATAACTAGATAACTATAACAAAACAGATGTATGATACTGATGTGCTATAGTATGGATCTACCTTGGACCTCAAAATATCACTTCACCACTGTTGGCCATGATGTGTACAATTGTAAGAATGTGCACATGTTGCCCAACAGGCCAGATATTGCATTTTTCAATAGCAATACAATTAGCTCCAAATTATAGTCTTGCTGCCAGCCCCATGGCAGTGGAACATTTAAAATATCCTATTCTCAAATGATAAATGCTAAATTCATACTTTCTGGTGCTGCATATGTTCTTTAGACATTATGATGAACAAAGCTGAGTGCTTAGGCTCTTATACGAAGAAGTTCCATGAGATAATAGCCTACATATTGCCATTCAACAAGGAAACTAATTTGATAGCAATCAATATTCTATGTTGGTGGTTTCAAGATAATTACAACTCTCAAAACTGCAATGTAACACCTTTTTTTAACTTGCATACATCAGATGTGGAATATATTATTTTGGTAGGTAGAACAAGGTTTTCATTGAAGAAAGCAGTCTTCTGGGATTTGGCACTGTGTATATGTGGTGTTAACCGACGTTTCGGAGGAACATATCGCCCCCATCTTCAGGGTAGAAGAAAAAAATATAAGAAATCTGCAAGCGACAACACCGTGAGAAACGGTAAAGCAGACTGTGGTTAACACCACATATACACGGTGCCAAATCCCAGAAGACTGCTTTCTTCATAGTCACCGCCGTGAAAGCCTCAAATCTTACAAGGTTTTCATTATTGTTTCCATTTGTATTATGGTAACTATAACATGGCCAACTGACATAATGTTAGTGAGGTGTATTTATGTGTGTTCCAAAGTCTCAACTACAATGGCAGGAAGTTCAGTTACTAGAAGTAGAATCTCTGTTAGTATTCATGGTCAATTAAATGAATCAAGTGCCCCCCCCCCAAAAAATATGCACTTTATTACATTTGTACCAAATGAACACAACATATGCAAGTTCATTGCCGTATGATGATATAACAACTATTGCTATTGCAATTCAAGTTTGTCTCAACTTATTAGACTCAAACCCCTATTTAATGTGTCTTGATATAAGGTTCCTCTCATTCAACATTTAGTTTCAATGATCGGAAGTCAATAATCTGTGTTAATTTTCATGAATTTGAAAGTAGTCCTGAGTTTAGTGACCAAATCCATTGCTCACCAATGAAATCTTAAATGTTCAGAATTATTGTGCTTTTTGGACTTTGTCCATCGTCCAGTATTCTAGAAACTATAAAACACAACGTTTCGTAGAGTGGATCTATTTCCATCCTTAGATGAGAAGGGGGAAGACACCTACTTAGCTGGGTCCCTTAGAAAGAGCTAACCTCAGTCACCTTGAAGATGAAGGCAGCAGTTTCCTTCAAAACTTCAGCACCTTTCTATGAGACTACATGGCACCATATCCCAGAAGACAGTAATCTGAGTCTTTGCTGTTTTTATGTATGGGACAAATTAGCTTGTAGAATATCCATGTTGCAGGCTGACAGTGATGATTATGAGTGCTGAAAACGTCCCCCCCCCCCAGCCTAATAGCTGTTTCCAAGGGATACAGGTAGTTAGAGTGTAAAATAGACCACTGATCTAACTTAGCAGTAATTGTATGAGAATGTGGTGCGCTTCACCTCTAGACTCTCTGTAAGTATGGAGTGCAGTGAAAACTTTTACCCTTACTTGAACCAACAGAACATTTTGATCTTTGTGTTTGTATTAAATCTTATTTTTCTTTAGGACAGTCGACAAATTCTGCATGCTTTTTCGCGAGACTTGCTGGCTGGAGTTGGAGATATAACGAAACATTTAAAAAGTCTTGGATATGTTGTAACACAGAGCCAGACTTATCTGGACGAATTTGAATATGCAGTTACTTGCCTTGGAAAGGATCTGCGTGATGGCATTAGGCTTACGTGAGTATTTTACTATGCATGTGCATTTCATTTCTGATTAATTTTTGTTAACATGTATAAAAATTTACAAGTGGATGCCTTGTTACTTTTGGTATCTAAATTACATACATTTCTGCATCATATATCAATGAATAAACTACATGTGACATACTTTGGTGTGTTGCAGGCGCATGATGGAGATAATTTTACAAAACCGAACACTGTCAAGTGAACTTAGAGTACCTGCTGTTTCAAGGCTTCAGAAAATTCACAATGTGGGTGTTGCATTGTCAGCTCTGAGAGATGCAGGCTATGTCCTTACTGGGAACATCACAGCAAAGGATATTGTTGACGGTCACAGAGAGAAAACACTGTCCTTGCTCTGGCAGATCATTTACAAATTTCAGGTAATTGCTGACTGACACAGCAAAGCTCCCATACATGTAATTTTAAACCAGAGGTGCCACAAACGGTGATCAGGAGGGATTAAAAAAAGTCTATTCAAAATCACATCCTTGTAGATTCCAGTGAAGCCTTGATATTACAAGCATTTATAAAATTTATAAAAATACATGCTGTAACAGATACTTATAATATATGAAATGGTTAAATTGTTAACTATATTTCATGGAGCAGTAGAAGTGTGATCACCCCAATTTGTAATCTGATATGACCCTCGGTTGAAAATTACATGCAGCCTGTTCTTCTATGATGCTGCAAAGGAGGTTTATAGGTTTATTTTCTACTTGAGAATTTTACAAAATTAATTTTGTAATTGTGTTTCCAGGAGCCACGATTCATTGATGCAGCAAAGAAGATTCAGAACTGGTGGCATCATCAGTCGCTCAGATTGGAGATACGTCGCCGAATACAGGCCAGAGAGTTAGCATATTTTACAAAAGCAGCTATCAAAATTCAAGCCTGTTGGAGAACTTATTGTGCTCGGATACAACTGAAGATTATCAAAGAACAGGAAGCAGTGAAGCATGCAGCTTGTCAGAAGGCTAGCATTGTTATCCAAAAGAACTGGAGAATGTACTTGGCACATAAGAAATACATCTGTGCTTTGAACTCAGTCAGGAAAATTCAGGCATGGTACCGAAATATTAAGATGGCAAAGAAAGAACAAATTCAATATCTTGAGAGGCGTCAGACTCTGGTAAATTTCCAGGCAGTGTGCCGAGGATTCTTATACAGGAAGAGGTTAGAAAATCTTCGGCGCACAGCTGCTGCACTTAAAATACAGACCTGGTATAGACGTCTCATAGCACCTCAGGAAATACCATCTATACAGAAATGTAGTGAAGAAGAATTATTTTCTGCAACTGTTACTATTCAGAAAAAATTTAGAGCAACATTACTGATGAGAGCTGAAAGGCAACACTTCCTCCAGCTTAAGTATGCAGCAACAATTATCCAAAGAAGGTTACGTGCCACACTGCTCATGAAGAAGCAGGTTGAGTGGTACCAACAACAGAAATCTGCAGCAAGTATCATTCAGGCCAAAGTCAGAGCAACAATATCAATGCAGGCCCAAAGACAATACTACCTGCAACAGAAGTTTGCAATAACAGTTATCCAAAGAAGATTCCGGGCCATACTGCTTATGAGAAAACAGGTTAAATGGTACCAACATCAACGATCTGCAGTAAGCATTATTCAAAATAAGTTCAGAGCAACATTACTGATGAGAGCTCAAAGACAACACTTCCTACAACAGAAGTCTGCAGCAGCAGTTATCCAAAGAAGATTCCGGGCCATACTGCTTATGAGAAAACAGGTTAAATGGTACCAACAGCAAAGATCTGCTGCAAGCATCATTCAGAATAAGTTCAGAGCAACATTACTGATGAGAGCTCAAAGACAACACTTCCTACAACAGAAGTCTGCAGCAGCGGTTATCCAAAGAAGATTCCGGGCCTTACTGCTTATGAGAAGACAAGTTCAGTGGTACCAACATCAAAGATCTGCAGCAAGCATCATTCAGAATAAGCTCAGAGCAACATTACTGATGAGATCTCAAAGACAACACTTCCTACAACAGAAGTTTGCAGCAATAGACGTGCAAAGAAGATTCCGGGCCATACTGCTTATGAGAAAACAGGTCAAATGGTACCAACATCAAAGATCTGCGGCAAGCACTATTCAGAATAAGCTCAGAGCAACATTACTGATGAGATCCCAAAGACAACACTTTCTACAACAGAAGTCTGCAGCAGCAGTTATCCAAAGAAGATTCCGGGCCATACTGCTTATGAGAAAACAGGTTAAATGGTACCAACAGCAAAGATCTGCTGCAAGCATCATTCAGAATAAGTTCAGAGCAACATTACTGATGAGAGCTCAAAGACAACACTTCCTACAACAGAAGTCTGCAGCAGCGGTTATCCAAAGAAGATTCCGGGCCTTACTGCTTATGAGAAGACAAGTTCAGTGGTACCAACATCAAAGATCTGCAGCAAGCATCATTCAGAATAAGCTCAGAGCAACATTACTGATGAGATCTCAAAGACAACACTTCCTACAACAGAAGTTTGCAGCAATAGACGTGCAAAGAAGATTCCGGGCCATACTGCTTATGAGAAAACAGGTCAAATGGTACCAACATCAAAGATCTGCGGCAAGCACTATTCAGAATAAGCTCAGAGCAACATTACTGATGAGATCCCAAAGACAACACTTTCTACAACAGAAGTCTGCAGCAGCAGTTATCCAAAGAAGATTCCGGGCCATACTGCTTATGAGAAAACAGGTTAAATGGTACCAACAGCAAAGATCTGCTGCAAGCATCATTCAGAATAAGTTCAGAGCAACATTACTGATGAGAGCTCAAAGACAACACTTCCTACAACAGAAGTCTGCAGCAGCGGTTATCCAAAGAAGATTCCGGGCCTTACTGCTTATGAGAAGACAAGTTCAGTGGTACCAACATCAAAGATCTGCAGCAAGCATCATTCAGAATAAGCTCAGAGCAACATTACTGATGAGATCTCAAAGACAACACTTCCTACAACAGAAGTTTGCAGCAATAGACGTGCAAAGAAGATTCCGGGCCATACTGCTTATGAGAAAACAGGTCAAATGGTACCAACATCAAAGATCTGCGGCAAGCACTATTCAGAATAAGCTCAGAGCAACATTACTGATGAGATCCCAAAGACAACACTTTCTACAACAGAAGTCTGCAGCAGCAGTTATCCAAAGAAGATTTCGGGGCATGCTACTTATGAAGAAACAAGCTGAATGGTACCAGCAGCAAAGATCTGCAGCATGTCTTATTCAAAGCAAGTTGAGAGCAACATTGTTGATGAGATTTGTAAAGCAACAGTTCTTGGAAAAAAAGTTGGCAGCAACAGTCATACAAAGAAGATTTAGGGCCATGTTATTGATGAAGAAACAAACACAGTGGTACCAACGACAAATATTGGCTGCAAGCCTAATTCAAAGAAAGTTCAGAGCAACAGTGCTTATGTGGTCTGAAAGACGGTATTTCTTGAAGCAGAAATCTGCAGCATTGATTATCCAGAGACAATTCCGAGCCGTATTGCTTATGCGGTCTGAAAGACAGTATTTCTTGAAGCAGAAATCTGCAGCATTGATTATCCAGAGACAATTCCGAGCCGTATTGCTTATGCGGTCTGAAAGACAGTATTTCTTGAAGCAGAAATCTGCAGCATTGATTATCCAGAGACAATTCCGAGCCGTATTGCTTATGCGGTCTGAAAGACAGTATTTCTTGAAGCAGAAATCTGCAGCATTGATTATTCAGAGACAATTCCGAGCCGTATTGCTTATGAAGAAACACTTTCAGTGGTACCAACAACAGAGATCTGCTGCAGTTGTCATTCAGAACAAATTCAGAGCAACACTGCTGATGAGATCCGAAAGGGATATCTTCCTAAAAAAGAAGCGTGCAGCAGTTATTATCCAGAATAAATTTAAAGCTAAAATTTTTGAGAGGAAAGAAAGGAGTTGCTTCCTGGAAAGAAATTCAGCAGCACTTGTCATTCAGCAATGGTTTCGAGCTCACTTAAAGAAGAAAGAAACAGAGTGCTGCACAAATTTAAACTCTAGACAGACAGAACATGAAAAACAAACTGCTGCTGCCATAAAAATCCAAGTATGTACCTAGTTGTAAGTGGTTTGATGTCTGGCCATTTTTTTATTCCAAAACTGTGTTCCATGGATGCGTGGAATTCCATGAGATGTCCTTCATAAATTTTCTAGTGATGGTTTTGATTAAATGTCAATATACAAAATACATCATTCACTAAAATTACAAATAGAAACTTTGTCTGCATTGATGTAAACCTTGGAAAATTAGAACCTGTAGTGTTATCCAATTAAAATTATATGTATGACAAAATCATAGTGTATGAGCTTGGGAAGAAAAGTTTTCCACACACATATATAACGTTAAGTGAACTATTATATTAATCTCATACTTAAGGTGAGATTCCTTGCATCTAAAATTCTTTTTCAATATGTGATTAAAAAATTGGTGTTTGTGTGTGTCTTTGTATACATGGACCACCTCTGTGGTCTAGTGGTCAGAGTTCCTGCCTACAGATCCAGAGGTTTGATTCCTGGCGCTACCAGATTTTCTGAGAAGTAGTGGGTCTATAACAGGGTCCACTCAGCGTCATGAGGATAATTGAGGAGCTATTTCAAGGAATTAGCGGCTCCACTCTAGAAAACTGAGACTAACAGCCATTGGGATCTGTTGCACTGACCACGTTACACCCTCTATCCACAAAAGTTGGCACTTTGCTGACAAGTGGTGGTCGCTCGGTCGGTATAGTTCACTTGCAGACTACAGTCCATGGAGTTTGTTTTTGTTTGTATATACATCCATGCACAGAAGGGGATCTGCTGTGAGCTGGTAGGGTGAAAAGTTATTGAGCTTTATTAAGTGTATACTATGATGAATTTCAAGACAAAATGGAAAATGTATACATACAAGGCCTGGCAAATACATTTTGAGTCTAATTTTTTTTTATTTATTTTAAGAGCTGCAGATATTAGCAACCTACAATTTTTCAAAGTAATCTCGAATTCTTTACAGTATTCCCAGCACTTCAGCCATTATTCAAAACAGTTTTTAAAATCTTGAACATAAATGTCTATCAAAAATTTTTTCACAAATGATTTAATATGTTTGAGAAATGCTTTCCTTTCAGCAAACTCTTGTGTTTTGGAAACAGCCAGAAGTCAGCTGGAACCAAGTCAGGAGAGTATGGCAGATGATCCATGGCGGAGATGATTTTTCCTGCTAAAAACTGTAACACTTGAAGCAAAAAATGTGTGGGTGCATTGTCGTGGTGAAGAATCAGTGGGTGATCTCTCCACAACTCTCCATGCTTGCACCTCATGGAATCAAGCCTTTCAGCACCTCCACGTGGAATGTCTGATTAACAGTGGTTCCTTCAGGTAGAAATTCAGAATGGATGATATTCATGGTGTCAAAAAAGCAGATCAAAATTGTTTTGATCTTGGGCTTTGACATCTGTGGCTTCTTTGATTTTCACTCCATGGACTGGTGTTTGGCCTTGGGATCATACTGCTAAGGCCATGTTTCGTCAATAGTGATGACATGATCCAAAGAATTATCTTCTTGAAATGTCCTTTTGTTCCTTCATCATGTTTTGTCTCTCATGCCAAGGTCCTGGACTAAAATTTTCCTAACAGTCTCTTTGCTCATGCCAAAGTCATCAGCTATCATTCTGCAAGTTAACTGGCAGTCAGATTGTGCAAGTTCCCTGATTTTTGTGACTTTTTCATCTATTTGCTTTGTTACAGGGCGACCCTGCTTTTCATCATTGTTTGCATCTTCTCTGCCTCCTTTGAAACATCTGTTCCACTTAAGAACATTGCTTTTGCTCATAGTAGATTCTGCATAAACTGTTTGTAACATCTCTGACATTTCACATGGCGATTTCTGCAGTTTAACACAAAAGTTCACATTCGCTCTGTTCCATTGTATGCCCCATTTTCATGTCTGGACAAAGTTGATAACACAGTGATTGTGCGAGCTACTGTTCAATGAATACTGAATGCAGACTTTCCATGTGTCTTGTTGCACCAACTAACATTCAAAGTAAGTCTGTCAGATTGCCTCATGGAAAATTGGAAATGAGTCTCCAAACATATTTGCCTGGCCTTGTATTAGCTGTAAACATTATGTATTGTATCCCATAGAAGTACAATATTTGATTGTACCTTACACATACTTTACACTTTTGAGCTCTCTCATAAAGGAATGTATTTTCAATGAAAGTGAAAATTATGAGCCCAGTGTAAATTTGTTGCTGTCTAATATATATATATATACCCCCCCCCCTCTTTGTATGTATTGCTGCATTTCCACTTTTGATTACACCACCTAGTGTTGCTAATTGCCTTCTTTTCCTTTTGTAGGCTGTTTGGCGTGGATACAGAGAGCGGAAATCTGGCACTCAGGGAATGGTTTCTGTGAGGGAACGTGCCCTGAGCACCATACAGAATGCACTTCCTGGAACAACACTACAAACACGATCCACAGCTGCTTTGATCGTGCTTCAGAGAACATGCTCTGGCCGACTTATATGGGCCCTCATGGAACTTGGTAAATTAAATTATAATAGGAATAACAGCCTTATATTTTGTATATTCCTGTTATTTCAGTTTTCATGTCACAGAATCTACATTATGAGGCTCTAATCTTGAGAGCTGTTAGGGGTGCACAAAGTCAGAGCTATTAAATGTATGCCAACAGTATGAATCAGCAGCTATTACCTAAGCCAAAACAGTCAGGATACTCTGTAGTGGCCGTGCAAGCTCCATGTCACTGTCTTCATCAGGCACAATATTATTGTAGTTAGTATCAGTTTCACTGCTGAAATGATGCTTTGCATGTAGAGATACAAATACAGTTATTTTACTATATTATATTTAAGCATCCTGTTGCACTATACACTTCTATATGTAATAATTGCGGCCGAAACGTAGTGTAGAGGAAGAAAAAACAAAAGATCTACAACCAAATAAATTGTTGCATTCATGACGGCATTTGTATTATTACATATACAGTTATTTTAGTTTAGTTCAGGTGAGCACTGGGGCACGCGGTAGCATAGTTGGTTGAGGCACTATGCTACAAGCCGGTAGGTCGCGGGTTCAGCTCCCAATGAGGTCATTGGATTTTTCTCAATTGACCTAATCCTTCCGGCTGTTCTATGGCCCTGGGGTCGACTCAGCCTCTAACAGAAATGAGTACCAGAAATTGATTAAATAATTTTCCTGGGGAGTAAAGCATGGCTGACAACCTTAACGCCACCTTTGAGCCAATTGTCTAGATAATGTGGAACCCTCAACGTCTCGCAACCCTGTGGGCCTCCACTGCCTGCTACAGGGATAACTTTACCCCCCCCCCCAGGTGAGCACTACATGAGTACATTAGTGGCCAGTGTATTCTGAAATTATGCTATACACAGTAGGTATGTCTGTTTCTACCCCTTCTCTCCTTGTCCATACATTCTTCCCTCACCCCACAAGTGTCAAGGTTAGAGTCTCTATCAGTAATAATATCTTTGTGCCTGTAATCACGGTGGATCTATGGCTTTTCAGCTGATGGGGATCTCAACAGAAAATGTACAATATAGTAGGAATATGTGTCTGTTTGCTATGCACGTTTAAGACAACACAAACAGTGTAGGCTGTTTATAATAAGACAAGAATATTTAGTTACACAGTGGAAGACAGAACATATTGCCATGCATTTATATGTATACTAAAATTAAAGTTACTCGTAGTGGATGCCTTTCATAGAGGTTAATTTTTCTTTCCAGCATCTTACAGTGCCTTGTAAAAGGAATGTGCCTGTTTGTTCTTCAGCATTATGAAACCCTAGGTGACTTTGGTTTTAAAATATAAGGTAGATGGTAGTTTTTTCTCTAATGATAGCATTGACAGTGTTGGTCTTCCAGCATTTACTGTGTCCCTCAAGTAGGTTTCTGCACATTTTAGTCCAAAGAAATTTTTGGTTCTGATAACACGGGTGTTGTAATAATTTCAAGTTAATTTCACCATCTTATTAAAAGTTTATTAATGTTATTTGGTTGTAAGAAAAGCAGTCATGTAACAGCAGAATTTTACATGCATGATAGCTGTGGATCTATACACAATGCTGGGCTCTCTTTTCACATTATATTCCTTTTAAACTGTATAATATATCACTGCCATATTTAATTCATCTGGAAAATGAAACACATTCTTTACATGACTCAAAACAAGCCAGTTTAGCTGTAAGTAACTTATCATTGCATAAAATTTGTCTTCAGCATGGACAGCTGTTGTATTATCTTTCTTCATAACTCTGGTCAGTTTGTGTAAATTTTCTTGGTACAGTTACGTGTGTAACAATATAAATATACTGTTGTTACACACGTAACTGTAGTTACACATAACAGTAAACATCACTTAGGTAACAAGACATAACCTAGTTCTTAAATTGTTTACTATGATGTTGCCAACTCTAACATTATATTTCAGTATCTGAGAGTTGCCAACATAACAGAAGTGCCTATCGTGTTTTCTTTTTTAAGAACACCATAATTTGACTTAGTGCTTGTTTGTCTCACATTTCAGATACAATTACACAGCTGTCTCCTAAACTTTGTGTGGACATTGCAAATAGTAAGGTTGTGAAGACAATCTACAAGTACCTTGATAATGCTAATCGTTCTGAAGTTGACAAGGAGATGAGCACGGTGGCCACCAAGGTCCTTATTAATTTAGCCAAGTATGAAAAAACTGCTGAAAGTGTTTGGCAGGTAGTATAACAATTAATGCAGATATATACTTAATGTTGTGTTTGAATTAATTTCATTTTCAGTGTACATTATATACCACATATTGAACATGTTTAGTTCAACAAATGCATGCTGTGACTGAGGTTCTTTGTGGTTTTTCTGAGTTCCACTAAGGAAATGTTTGTTGAAGAGTTTCAGAGTCCCTTGGGATAAGTCATAATTCCTTCTATCTCAGTGATCATGATTTTTCTGTATCACATTTAAATCTGCATAATTTCTGAAGGGAAAAAGTTGTAGAATAATGAAAGTTTAATTTAAATCATATTATTAATATGGACAATGAATTTGGCAGATTAACTGACAACAGTTGTATAATTTATTTACTTTGGAGTCATTTAAAAAAGATTGTGTGTATGGGCAAGCAAATTACTGTAGTGTAGGTTTTTAATACAACTTTCACTGTTGAGCCCTTCAGTACAGGATGTTTGACATAAAAGGGTGAAGGAAATATTTGTTTTAAGAATGTTCATGTGGTTGATATTTGACTGATACCTCAGTTCCCTGAAATTGTCATCTGTTCATTGGTATAGGTTGCAGTCATGTGATTAAACTTTAGACTTGTTAAAGTGCTGTGAAAGAAAGACTGTGACATGCATATAGATCACATCTGTCTGTACTAAAGAAACATGTTGCTTGTTTATTAATTTTAGGTGCCTGGAAACGTGAGAATAATACTGAATCTGATGTCTGCCTGGTGTGGAAAGAATGATCCTCTGTTTTGCAACTGCTGTACCCTGTTATGGCTCTTTGCACAAGATCCAGGAAAGGCTTCTGTAAGTAATGAGTCAGCACAAGTATATGATATATAGGTGTGGAGGGCAGATGCTAAATCTCATTATTGAGTTACCAAATGTATCACAGTGTGGTAATGTAAGAAGTGCATGTGGTAATGATTAGTTTGAAGGACTGAAGGAATATGAACATTTCGTAAGGTAAGGCAAAATTGTCCTTGTGTTTAACTAATTAATCACCCTGCCATGAAGCGGTACTGGGGAGTGAACGTGTAGATCCATGTATTACTGATCTTTGCACTACCTGAAGGTGAGTGGTCAGCTTCATGGCCCAGCCACTTTACCTCTGGTGAAAGATCCCCCATTACCTATTGGATGGGAGGCTGGGTAGGTTACCAGAGAGGAAAAGTCTTGCCCCTACCAGGACTTGAACTTCAGCCGTCCAGCCTGTAGCCAGTCACTATGCTGACAGCACCATCCTGGCTCACATTTGAATATTTTGTAAATATGTATATTAGAAACATGGAAGATTTTTATCCCAGAAGGACTCCTCCAGTTGAAACAAAAGATTCTGCCATCTAAAACATCTCTGAAGGTGCATCATCATCAGATAGTGTCACAGATCATTACAATAGCAGAAAGTTACTTGATTATATTTTCAGCATAAAATGGGAACCAAAATTGCCACACTGGTAATCTCATTGAATATGCAGGACTTCCCCCCCCCCCATTAAGGTTGCCTAGTGAAGGTACAGTGTACCCTCACAGATGTTTCAGATGAACAATAATTATGAATATATCTACAAACAGTTCAAAGCTCAAACCATTCAAGTTGCTTAGAAATTTGACACATGCTTAAATGTGTAGTGGCTGGAATTAAAATTTTATATGAAATATGTGATATATATATATATCAGTGTCTTTATGTTGTGGCTTGTGTTCCCCATACTTCTATAAGACCTTTGCTTTTTGACCTCCCTGGCTAGACCAGAGGTAGGACACCATTTTGCTCCTAACTATAGGATGAAAGTGAAGATGGCTGGTAGCGGCCTCCGTAGTCTAGAGGTAACGTTCCCACCTCATGACTCGTAGTACGCAGGTTCAAATACCCGGCGGAGGTCATCGAATTTTTAAGGGCAGAAAAATTCAGGGAATAAGTCCTCCGGGAGGGACTTTAAGCCGCGGGTCCCGTGTCGTAGCTTTACGGCACGTAAAAGAACCTCATATCTCCAAAGGAGGTCACTGAGCCAAATTACGGACGTTTCCTGCCCAACAGCAGTCTCTAATACCTCTGGTAGATGAGGGAAGCATTATAGATACCTCTCAGCTAGTAGAGCCAGTCTCGCTGGCTGGGCGGGACTGATGGTAAGCACCAGTACCGGTAGGATATAGAGACTGGTAGAAATCATAGAGGGAAGCACAATGGACCCATACAGCTCTCAGTGCATGGGGAAACCCACCCTCTCCAATAACTAACCAACTAACTAAGATGGCTGGTGGAGGGATATTGCATCTTAACAGGGATTTAAGCTGTGACAGAGGTCTAGTATGCCTTTCAAAGTCAAGGAAAGGGAAAAGACAATGGAATGTTTTACATTAGATATCTTAAGGCTGTGACTTTTTGCATGTAAAATCAGTTCCTTACTTCCAGATCACTTGGTCCCCATTCTTGTCATTTTGTGAAAGAATAAAGAAATTAATGGGTAAAAACTGTTGAAGACATTTGAAACTGTCCAGAATCACAGTTATATAACAGTTTTTATAATCTCATGTTGTATTTTTTCCTTTTCTATAGAAGATTGTAAAGGGTCCGCAAGTGCAACAGAGATTGGCCCATTATTACAAACACTTGAAGCAAAAGCAAGAGCGAGCCCAAGCTTTAATGAAAGGTTCATTGAAAGTGAAAGCCAAACAACCAAAGGTTGTCCTTCCGTCTGTGAAACCTGACTGGAGTTTAACTGGTGCATGTCTGCAGCAGACATTTGAAAACCCCTTGCATGCTGTGAGTTGTGTAATGAAACAATTAAATGTTAAATCAGATATGGCAGAATTTTAGTAGTGAAGAAACGCATATGTGTTTGGAAGTGCTATATTTTATGTGAATAGGTTACTGTAGTTGTGAAGCCATGTTTTATAAGTTTTATGCACACAGCATCACTCATTCGTATCATATTCTTATTACAATTAATTTAGTCATAATAAGAATATGATATGAATGTTTTATAAGTTTTACACACACATGGCTTCACAACTAATGAAAACCAAGTCATATTATACCCTCTTAAATATAAGCTGCAAATCATACTGCACATTTTGGTGCATAGTGACACGACAAAATTTGTGATCACTTGGAATTACCCTTTAGAATCTTACTGAACATAATTACTGTAGAACTGTAGAACATTAGGTGAAAAGGAATAACTGATTGTAGATTTTAAATTTTGATTTTGTTTTATGGTAAGACTCATAAATATAGAGAATGAGTATTTACTATCACTAATATCCAAGTAAAGTACTTTGTATAATGTAATAATATTTGTACTTACAGGTTCATTTTTGACTCTTATATGTATATGTCATTTTTATCTGGTTGATCTGTATAATGACAAGTACTTTATCCTGATGTTTAGGATCACAATATTTTATGTAAGTTCAAAAGTATCATAAAGATGTTGAGTCATTAATATTAAGTTGAATATTTTTTGGCAGTTAAATTTGTCTAACATCTGAATCTTAAGAGTTCTGTCTTCTGGTATAAAACGCTGTGTAGTCCGGTGAAAGTCAACCAACATTTCAGAGAAATGTATCACATCTTTCTTGTGAGTCAAGGAGTAAACTAGCACTTGCTTAGTTTACTCTTCATCCCTAAAAGGAGAGGTGATATGTTGTTCTGAAACTGTGGTTGACTTTCACTGGACTGCAAGGCATTACATCGTAGATGTTTACAGTCCATTCGTAGAGATGAGAGAGTACTCGTAAACAAATGCACGCGGTATCTCCTTGGCTCTTTGAATGAAAACATGCAGCGATCACGCGATGCGTGTTTCGTTGCAGGGGTGTCCAAAGTTCACTCTTCAGTCTGAATGCAGGTTAACATGCGTCCAAATGCAGTGAGTACACTGAGTAACTGCACGCTTTGTCCACTCCTTGCTGTCAGCTGTGGCGACTCAGGGCTTGCTTTGTTTACACTAACTGTCTCGTCTCCGCGAATGGACTATAAATTAAAAGTATAACCAATACGTGCTGTACTCAGTGCACTTTCGAACTGAATTTCTCATAAACTCTTTGCCTTCTCTCAACACACCAATTACAGAGTAATTTACTTGCTCAGACAACTTNAAACGTCAGTTAACACCACATATACACGGTGCCAAATCCCAGAAGACTGCTTTCTTCATAGTCACCGCCGTGAAAGCCTCAAATCTTACAACTTCATAACTATCTCTGTTAATAAGAAAATTATGCCTTTGTGGTCTAGTGGTCAGAGTTCCTGGCTACAGATCCAGAGGTCCTGAGTTCGATTCCCTGTGCTACCAGATTTTCTGAGAAATAGTGGGTCTGGAATGGAGTGATTGTAAATTGTGTAAATCAGCAGTAGAGTAAGAATTATTTGAAGTTACAACCTGTAAGTATCCAATAAATCCAATTACCAATCCAAACCCCATCTTTAGTCACTGTGACATGTGGCCATACATTTTAGATATATGTCATTAATGAATATATGAAAACACCATTTCAAGTTGGTTAAAAGTTTGTTATGGAAAAGACTACAGATATTTAGTGCCAGAATTAAAATAAACCATGTTGACATTGTGTAAGAATTCTGGTATCTTTTTTATTGCCTCTAGGTATTCAGTTTGTGAATACTAATTTTTTAAAATCTCTTACAATATAAAATTTGTGGGGCAGACCAGCAGAAGACCAGAAGGCTGGACAACATAGATCTTCTCTTTCAGTTTGAAAAGACAATCTAATAACTAAACTTGTACTATATATAAGAAAAGGAGACACTTCATTATATTTTTTCATGCTTTCAGACAGTAAAAGGGGGAAAAAAATTACCTTAAGCTGGCCAAACAGACTCCTGTATATTGAAATTTTTGACATTCATGGTTTGAACATTCATAAACATTTTTGCAAAATTTTATTAGACCATATTCCTCCCCCTTTTTTACAACACTTCTTTGACTTAGTATTCCATATTTCTGGCTGTTCATGAATTTCTGTAGTCAGTCAAGAATTCCATCAATATGAAACATGCCTGATTTCAGTCATTAAGCTTTCATACAGCACTTAAATTTATGTCAAGCCTGGAACTATTCTCTAGCACTGTAAGGGGAGGAAAGGCCATTCTCTGTCTGGTTGAAGTTCCATCCAAAACAGGTTTTCTACTGCCACTATGCCAAAGAAGTACTGCTTCACATTCATGAGAAATTAACAGAATTCACACACACTTCTCTTGCTTCCATGTTAACTTATTTGAAATAAGTTATTGCAGATGAGTTGCTTTTATTTTTTAATTTCTTTAGTGTAAGGCAACGAAACATTATTTATAGACATAAGTATGTTAAAAATTTTGTGGATATTGGCAGTTGTTCGGCCAAACCTATGAATCATAAAGGAAAAGTTACCTCCATGTATAGATCATTAGGCACTATGCCATGAAGACACATGAAGGAGTGGACATCTAGATCAACATATTCTTGACCTCGGCATTAATTGGAGCTGAGTGGTCAGCTTCACACCCCGGACACTTTACTCCTGGGAAAAGAGCCCTCCATACCCACTGGATAGGAGACTGGGTGAACCCCAGAACATGGAGATGCGAAAAATCTTGCTCCTACAGGGACTCAAACTCCAACCCTTCAGACATCCAGCCTGTAGCCAACCTATTAACCATAGTCACAAGAAGTGTCATACAGGATACCTCATTGAATGCAAAATTTTCAGTTGCCATGTTGCCTACACAGAGTGTTAATGTACCCTTGTTCCTGGACTGGTGCAAGATAAGTAGTAAAAAATCTAATAAAATACGGTAAATATCTGACTTAACATGGATTCGAGTTTTATGAATCCATAGATTCAGAGACACAGGAATACGTTTTTTATTGAAACAGTTTAGGTACTTTGACTTCTATGGGCATTAACACCAGATATACAGGGCTTTATATAAAATTCAGTATGCCATATATTATGGTATATGTGTATTTTTATTATACATACTTTTTTTTAGCTTTAACTGTCTACTGAAATGAATGTGTATGTAAAAAAAAGAAGTATGTATTAGTGCATTGTTGGACTTGCAGGGTTTTCAGCTTATACCGAAAACTTCAAAACAAAGCAAGCAGTAAGTTTGGGACTTTGTGCTAGTAAAGAACTTATAATTTGAATTCAGTTTTTCCAACTAGATATTTCCACGATTCATTTATTAATATTTGAGGATCTCTTTGTGGTGATGATTCATACTGTGGTCTCTTAAGACATGATGCTGTAGTCTGGTCTGAGGATAATGTTTCGAGAAACAGCTTCTGTCTTCTATCCTGAGGATGAAGGCAGTATGTTCTTCAAAAACACAGGTACCCACCATGGTTTAATAACCCAGAAGCCCACAGTCTGAGCAGTCTAATTGATTTTGACTCCATGAGTGGTGGAGATGGGCAGAGTAGGTGTAACAGTATCTAACCATTTAACTACTACTACTACTACTCGATGTCAATGGCAGTGGTTCTCAGCATTTGTGAGACCGCAGCCCCGTAAATTCTTTCTTCTTTAAGACAGCTGAGAAACACTAGTCTGGGGCTTATTCTTATCAAGCGGAGGTTGTGTTTTATCATTTGTAGTTGTGTCACATTCACAGATGACAGAATCGGCGGGCTTCACATTACACATTTTAATCGAATAAGGGAGAATTAGGGCGAGGGCACACCAAAGAAATTGGTAACCGCAATTTCCGTAGAAAAAAAAACGCCAATTTCAAGCAGGCAACTGGTTTCCAGATTAACAAGTGCACACTGAGAAAACATGTTTGATTAGATGGTCACATTATCTTGAGTGGGTATGTTCATCCAATGTAATACATGATTATTTTTTATTATCGTGCACTTACCTTCTATATTGGAAGATATAATACTGATCCTGTCATAATATGGTGGTAGTTGAGACCGGTTAAGACAGCGTGAGAAGATAGGACAATGAACATATGAAAAATATTGGGCTGTTAATTTGTTTTAATTAAGGTCAATTTATTTTAATCAGGAAATATTGCATTCACACATGATAAGAAATTTTGACATACACTGCCAACAATTTTAACAGAATAGAAGACATGGTGATTGGCGTATACAGCCGAACCATGCAAAGTGAAAGAAGGATAAAGTAAGTAAAGCTATCCCTGTGACAGCCCATGAAGGCCAATAGGGTTGTGAGACGAGGGTCCCACATTATCTAGACAATTGGCTCAAAGATGGCAGTGAGGTTGCCAGCCTTACGCACCGGCCTCACTTTACTCCCCAGAAAAATTATTTATTTAATTCCTGGTACTCATTTCTGTTAGAGGCTGAGTGAACCCCAGGGCCATTGTGCAGCCGGATGGATTAGGTCAACTGAAAAAAATCCAATGACCTCATCGGTATTTGAACCTGCGACCTTCTGACTTGTAGCATAGTGACTATAATAGTTTGTATTCAAGACGGAAATAAATGTTATATTAATGCAACGGGATGGTTAAATATAATATTAGGAAAGGAAAGCACTGTGTGCACCCGTTCTTCTGTAACAATTCAAATTGAAGCCCTTGTATTGTTTTGAAAGAACTTAACCAGGATAGTCTCCTACACAATCTTTATATCACTGTATACTAGTCTTTATTTCAATTTATTATACGATTAATGTATGTTATACAAAACTCATTAATGACGTTGTCTTAACTACTAAATTTTTAATTAATAGACTTGTATAAAACTCTACAAAGTGTATAAGGTTTGCCATTACTTTTACTACAAAAATTAACTTATCTATTACATTGTATATGTTTATCAGTATTTTATTACAACTGTGTATGCTACTGGATGACAACTGTAATTCTTAGATTTGGCTGTAACTAGGATGAGCTCCATATCCGCACGAGAATGTATTCTCGACAGGATTTATGGAAGGTGGAAAAAAAATTAAAAAAAATGAGAAATTCTTTCCAAAGCCAAATCTATTTTGTCCTGACTTGTACAGTCTGGTTGGCGTTTGTCACATATACCAGGATCTTGCTCAATTAACGTCCCTCAAAAATAATTAGCAACACCGCAAACGTCTCGTGCCATCTTAGCGATCTTGAGGATCTTGAGAATCAATCGAATAGCTGAAGCGCGTTATAGAACTTATCGAACAGCTGACACTAGGAAACCACGCGGCAACTCAATTGTGTGAAGACTGACATGCTCTCCGTTGCCTGGAAATGGAGTTTCTCGGTCTTTCCGCGAGTTGCGTTGCCGTTTCCTCAATTAGCGCTGCTCCGTTTAGTAACATGTGTTCAACTCGAGCTGATAACAATCTCAGAAATTGCGGTTGCCAGTTTCCTTAGTTCCTTTGTGTGTTATGATATCCATTGCTCGTAGTGATGCGTAATGAATGTCGAAACTTGATTCAGTCCTGGGTTAGGTTTACGTACAAATGAGATAGTGTTAGTAATTGTTGTTTTATTGTAAATATTTGGAGTTATGGGTGTCACATTAGTTCAGTAGGACACATCTGTGGTTGAATAACATCCTGGCGTCAATCACGAATAACGGAACATGGGATCGGATAGGAATCCTCTGGTGTTCCTAGACATCAGTATTGGATTATGTAGAGGTTAATATGAAGTTACACATTTGTAAATAAATATTAATAAATCTCTCTTTGTGGCTTAAATAGTGTAAGGATATTAAAACATATTCGTTCTGTCAAAATAACTTAAAAATATAACTGCAGATACAGGTCAAAATTCTTTTATACTTTCATCTTTGTAGCTTATATACATGTAATTTCAAGAAAGTAATAACTAGAGTTAATGTTTCTATTAATAATTTTTCCTGTTTCACTGGTCTCAAAAACTTTGTGAAGCAGTCATTCTATGCGAAAGTTTTGTTGTAATTTTAATGACTGTAAGACTTGTGAAGTTTTACGGGGAAGCACAGTATTGTTTGTATTATTGAAGGATAATAAAAGTTATCAGTGGCTCAGAGACTGATATTGAATATTGCGTTTACAGTGGGACGAGTTGTCATAGAATTATTCAAAGATGTTGTTCCAAAAACAGCAGAAAACTTCCGAGCCCTGTGTACAGGAGAAAAGGGGGTTGGAATATTAGGGAAACCACTGCATTACAAAGGAAGCCTATTTCACAGAGCAGTATCCCAATTCATGATTCAAGGAGGAGACATTATTGCACAAGATGGAACAAGTGGAGAAAGTATATATGGATTGACATTTGAAGATGAAAATTTTAAATTGAAGGTAAGTTTTTAGGTTTGTTTTGCTCTTAGGTAAAAACAGAATTGTGACTATTTGTGACTAAAATTAGTACAGAATAGAGAAAATGTGAGGATTATTTTTTTCCATATAAGAGGAGGCATGACATGTTCTTAGTGTATTGGGGATGGGACTGAGTCCCCTGGAACTGCAGCATCAGATGACCTTATTATACAGCCCCTGATGTTACATGAGTATGGTGCAGTGGTGGAATGAGAATTGGCAGGGGAAAACTGCAGTACTGGGAAAGAAACCTGCCATTTAGACGAAGTCCCATATGGTGTGTCTTGGGATAGAACCCAGACCTCTGATGGCCTGTGGTATGGCTTTGTTATTGCCTTAATTCATGTTCTTTTTTAGTTGATTCAATTTAATAGAGGGCTTGTGTGATTTGAGGTCCTTGCCAGCGGTGACTATGAAAATACTGACTTTGACATAATTCCATATGGCTTTGTATATGGGTACCAATGTGTGCAGTCTATATACACGTGTATATATATATATGTATTCTGTCTTGAAGATGGAGATGGTAGATTCCTCCTAAATGTTACCTGTCTGCAATATTACATGGCATCACATCCCACAAGTCCATAATCATATCACCTCCATCTTCAGGATCGAATAACCCAAGCGAGACACCAGCGTGAAAGCAGGTGGCAAGTTGACCAATACATTCTTCCAAAATGTCAGTTGACTTCAACGGACTAAATGGCGTTATATCCCAGAAGAAAGTACTGTTCATAACCACTGCTGTGAGAACCTCATATCCTACATATGCTGTTGTTTACATTACTGTCTCATATGGACATCTGGATTACAAGAGTAAGTTACATATCTGAGAGTGACATAATGTGGCAAAGTGGATTAGCTTTTGTATTAGATGCCCATTTTGTCAGGCAATACATTCTTACCTATGCTGCATGTTGTGTTCTACATTTCAGCATTGTACAGGTTCACTGAGCATGGTAAATGCTGGCCCAAACACCAATAGCTCGCAGTTCTTCATCACCACAATCCCAACTGAGCATTTGGATGGCACACATGTTGTATTCGGTAAAGTGAAGAAAGGACTGGGTGTTGTGGAAGAAGTGAGCAGAGTTACCACTCATCAGGATTGTCCTACAGTGGTAATGTACTTTATGCAGTTGACTTCAGTTTATTGGGTATTAGGAGTATAATAGGGTGTAAGAAAAATTAGGAGTAGCCGAAAATAGGATATTATGGTGTGAGATCTGTAAATTCATTAATTCTGTTTAGAATAAGGAACAATTGCCTGATCAGTGGAAGGAAGGAGTCTGGTGTTGACTTAGCCTGTAACAGAAATGAGTACCAGGAATCTTCCTGAGGGGTGAAGGGCAACTGGCACACAGGGCTCACAACCTCACTGCCATCTGTGAGCCAGTTGTCTAGAAAATGTGAGAGCCTCGATGTCTCAATACTGTATGAGCCTCCACAGCCTGTGACAGGGATTGCTTTACCTTTATAAGCATTGAAGAGTACTATCATCTGGGGTATAATGATATGTAGTCTGATGAACACTTACTGATGATTTGGAGAAGTTGCGCTTGCCAGTTGCTTCTTGCTGGTTGCTTGCTTGTGGCTCAGAAGATGGGAGCAGTACATTCCTCTGATACATTGTTGAATTCCAGGAGATAATATTTATTATAATTGCTGCTGGGAGCACCACAGTTCCAACACATGTAAGTCTTGTTTTGTGGCAGAAATGTTGTATTGAAGATTGTGGAGAACTAGGACCTGATGATGACTGGGGATTGGGAGACAACGATGGAACTGCGGATGTTTACCCTCTTTATCCAGTGGATTGGGATCCCACTGAGCAGCAACTTCAGGTAAACTGCCTAAAATATCTTTGACATGTTATCATGAGATAGTCACATAGATTTGTTATGTCATCATTAGGCCGCGCCATAGCTCAAGCGGTTAGTCACTGGCTTCCCACTGTTGCAGCCCAGGTTCAATCCCGGGTCTGGTCAAGTGGGATTTGTGGTGGAAAAAGTGGCACTGGTGCAGGTTTTCTCCGAGTACTTCGGTTTCCCCTGCCAATCTTCATTCCACCAATTGTTCCACAATGACCCTCACCTATCATCTTGGGCTGGTACAATAGGCCAGAAGTGGCCGCAGTACAAGGGACTTAGTCCCACCCTACTAGCAATAAAAAAAATATGTCATCATTAGGAAGTTACTGGATTCTGTTTTCAAACCTACAGTGGGAACTGTAATCTCTTTGAACACACAGGACTTCTCTGATATTTTTACACAGACAGTATTTGAAAATCTTAATATCGGATTGAAGTGTATTTTTATTTTTGAATATTTATTATTTTAAGGTGCATTTTATATTTACAATGTAAAATATTGTTTTGCAGAGTCATGCATTTGAAACTGTAATAACTGAAATAAAGCAGTCAGGAAATTATTTCTACAAGGCCAAGGATTATGTTCATGCTGATCGCAAATATAGGAAAGCATTACGTTACATAGAATGGTGAGCAATTTATATTAGTTATATATTATTTCAGCATGAGGCTCTTAATTTTGACTGTCATAATTTAAATGGGGAATTGAGGAAAAAGCATCATCAGGACTGTGTAATATCGATAACATTAAAAGGTTCTGGAAGCAGAGCTACTTTGTACTAAGATACTGAACTTGGTAGTATAATAACACACACTAAGCATTGTTACTGCCTAGAGAACTTTGTTCAGCGAAGATGGACAGTGTAATATCAACTCGAGTGTGCTTTCCACACATGCCTGTCATCTCCTGCTCTTTTTTTTTTTTATTTATTTATTTATTTATTTTTACCATTAACAGGTCTGAGTGGAACATACGTAACTACAGAATGGCAAGTGTTAGCCTCATGTGTATGAAGATGTTTCATATGCAGTCCTGTTTCACCATCATAATGAATTGTGGGCCAGGTTGTTTGCATCTTGAGCAAATGGATTAACCAGTATTATAGCAGTATGTCACATCAAAACCTATAACCCTTTGTATGATAGCAGTGATTATGACGAGTGTTATCTTCAGAGATTTTCTTTTTTTTATTGCTAGTGGGGTGGGACTAAGTCCCTTGTACTCCGGCCACTTCTGGCCTATTGTACCAGCCCCAGATGATAGGTGAGGGTGATTGTGGAGCAATTGGTGGAATGAAGATTGGCATGGGAAACCGAAGTACTTGGAGAAAACCTGCCCCAGCGCCAATTTGTTCACCACAAATCCCACTTGACCAAACCTGGGATCGAACCCGGGCTGCCGCAGTGGGAAGCCAGCAACTAACCACTTGAGCTATGGCGCAGGCTCCCATGGCCCTGCTTATCACTTGCTTTTGCGCTAGTTTCTTACTCTGCTTATTTTTTGACCTTGAAAATTGAGGTGATATTTTCCTCCCAAATGTCTCTTGACATTCAGCAAACTACACAGTGTTATATCCCAAAAGATCCATACTATAACAATTAATTTTAAATGGAAACTTGTTTCTGTTTACGTTTTTCAGGTCTCGATCAAAACTGGGAGAGATTAAGAATGAACCAGTTAGGACAGAGTTTGTGAAGACAGAATTGAATTGTCTGTTGAACTTGGCAGCTGTTTCTTTGAAAAGAAGGCTGTACAGTGATGCTTTAAGGAGTTGTGAGCTGGTGAGAGCAGCAGTTATGCAGTGATACACAGATATGAAAGGAGATTTTAGTTATCAGCCAGTTCCACTCATTTTCTAAAATACATATAATGCAGTATATGGTGGATTTCCTATATTGCAATAGCTTTTTATTTCATGGTGGACTGAAATATGATAGGTGTGAAATTGTATCTTTGGTACTTATATGTTAATGGATGATCCAATTTATTTAAAAATTTACCATTATGTTAGGGGGAACTGGGATAGCACAGTTGGTATAGTAACTGGCCATGGGCTGGATGCCAAGGTGTCGGAGTTCAAGTCCCGGTAAGGACAAGATTTTTCTCCTCCAAGTTGTCCAGACTGGTGCTGGGGCCCCACCCAACATCTTGTTCAGTGGGTACCACGGAGTCTTTTCTCAGGGTTGAAGCAGCTGGGATGTGGAGCCGTTCATGTCTTAATGGAATACTGATTAATTAGTTAAGCAGAAGGACAACTTTATTTTTTTTTTTAACATTGCCATAATGTTAAAGCATATGTACTCACTCTGTATTTAGCCTCCAGTGAGATTACCTCTGTTAGTTTGACATAAGTGTTATCTTACATTGTGATTTATTTTGAAAATGATGAATCCGTAGGATTTTGAGAGAACCAAAGAGGAAAAGATAGTTGTTTCAAAGATGGAGAATTGTGCCAAATGAGTGCTGTTGTGAAATTAAATGTTTGATGAAGCTGCACATCTGTAATCAAAGTTACTGATTGTGCACCATAAAGGCTAGCTAGCAGGGGCAGCATGCATGTTGGAAGTTGGCTCTGTCCTTCATTATGGTAGTTCATTGGATATAAAGTTGGGCACTTGAGTGAAATAGTATGAAGTGGTCCACTTTCAATCCAGGTTGCCTATGCGTGAGCTAACGTGGTTGTAAATCTTGAAAGTTACTAGGGGTCACCCATTAGTGTGTAAGTACTGTATCTTTTGGTTTTAACTGATATTTAGAATGTTAATATTTCTTGTAAAAGGCATAAAAGAGCAATCGTACTTATGTGATTTGTACATATTTCAGGCCCTGAAAATCAACAGCAAATGTGCAAAAGCTATATACAGAAGAGGACAGGCAAAGCGAGGGTTGAATGATTATGATGCTGCACTGAAGGATCTCAGAAAGGCCCTATCTTTATCCAGAAATGATGCGATTATACGTGGAGAAATAAGTTCTTTAAAGAAAGTAATGTTGGATTACCGTGTAAGAGAAAAACTTAGGTGTGAGAAGATGTTCAAATAATGTGAAAATGTCAGCCCTGAAGAAGCATGCTGCAGTTATTCACATGTCGCTATTCCACCTTGTAGAAGTTTGTGTATGATAACTCACTGTAAACAAAACACTGCCAAACTACTACATATTTATCATAGAAATAAATCCTATGGATTGACCCCCCACCACATTTTTCTTGAACTATTATGCTTCCCCCATAGCATACTTCCATATAGTCCTATCCAGTCTTCTACTTATTCTGTTCACATGAATGTTGGTGCTTTTGGCTGGTTGACATAGGACAGAGGGGAGTAGAAGAATCTTCTACACCAGCGATGACCAACTGGCGGCCCGCGGGCCACATCCGGTCCGCGACTTGATTTACTCCAGCCCCCCACCAAGTCTCAGGTTTACTTTCAAAAATCTTAACTTCACAGCTGTATTGGCATAGAATTCAGTTTTTAATAGGACGTTTCATTAGCTTACAGCATTTTGCAATTGACTGTATACGTTCTTACCAAGTTGGACAATTCAAACTGTTTTCTAATAACCGTGTTCATGTCATGGAAATTCAAAGTCCCCCAACCCTACTTCTGTAGGGAGATGACACTGAAGAGAAGACCGTAGTGGTGAAGGATTTATGACACCTTCAAAATAGTAACCATTCCCAGCTTGCTTGCGGGGTGGGGTGTTTACCGTTTCTCTCGGCATCCTGGCCTTTGTTAAGTGCCAGTTTTAGCAAAAATATCTCCCAGTTAGTGCGATTTTAGAAAGTGAAGTGTGATTACGGAGTGTGAGTGTGGAACTGTTTTTCAATTAAAATTGTGTTTGAATTTATTGTAAGTGATACAGCATGTCAAATAGTAAATTGAGAAAAGTTGATAGTGAAAATAAGGGGTTCATAAGGGGAACATGAATATTTTTTAATATTAAATAAAGACCACAAGCCACAGTATTTAGTATGTTTTCAAGTGCTAGCAGTTTTAAAGGCGTACAACCTAAAGAGGCATTACATGACAAATCATGAACAGAAGTTCGGAAAACACTCTTGTAAATCAAGGAAAGTAGTCTGCGATCAGTTAAAGAAAAAACTTTTCCAGTAGAAATCTCTTTACCAATGAAACAAGGCAACAAGAAGAAGCTTTGCTGGCTTCTTATTTTGTGACACATAAATTAATGAAAGATAAAAAAGCGTTAAGTAATGGTGAATTAATTAAGAACAGTGCGATAAAGATGGCAGAATCTTTCAATGAAAATAAGGTAGGAAACAAATTTCAAACAGTGCCCCTTTCAAAACAGACTGTTAGTAGGAGGCTGGAAGATATTAGCAACCAGATATCTAATAATGTGAAAGACATAATCGCTAATTGTTCCTATTTCTCAGTTGCTCTTGACGAAAGCATAGATGTTTCGGATACTAATCAGTTACTGATATTTTTTCATGAAATTAAAGAAGATTTTAAATTTTCGAAGAGTTGTTAAAAGTGTGCTATTTCCACAGCAAAACTAGAGGTGTCGATATTTTTAACACTGTTAAGAGTGCAGTGGAGGAATTCGGTGGTTTTGAAAAATTGGCCTCCGTAGTAACAGATGGCGCTAAATCAGTGACGGGCAATAAGCGGTTTTGTTGGATTTTTAAGACAGAATTAAATTACTGTACCTACCTTGCATTGTATTATACATCAGGAGGCTCTATGTGCCAAATCAATTAAACTGTCTACCGCCATGCCTACTGTCACAAAAATTACTAATGTGATCAGAGGAGGAAATCGATCACTCACTCACAGAAATTTTATGACCCTCTTCGAAGAAATGCATTCTGCTTATGGGGACCTGCTTCTACACACTGAAGTAAGATGGTTAAGCCGTGGAAAATGTCTGGTACGGTTCTCTGAACTCCGTTATGACATTGCAACATTCCTAAGAGAAGAGGTTACGAATTCTGCTGAACTGCAGAATGATCTCGAAGACGACGAATTCTTGAGAAACTTGGCTTTTCTCACCGATATCACTCGACACTTGAATGTCCTGAATCTGCAATTGCAGGGCAAGAAGCAGACAATATGTCAGATGGTTGGCTTTGTTGACACTTTCCGTAAAAAGCTACATTTATTTAAGTCTGCATTGGACAAAAATAACCTTCTGCATTTCCCTTGCTGTCAGAAACGCTCAAAATAAGAAGGCTTGGAGTTTAGGGACTACACTGAAATTATTGAAGATTTGTCTTCAGAGTTCAACCGACGATTCAACGATTTTGAAAGCTTCTATAAACTATAGTGTTCTATAAACTAAATTTGGCCCTCGAGATGTATTAGGTTGGTCAACGCTGTTCTACACCATGCAGAGAGGGGGAGTCTTGAGTACCAGACATCGATCCATGGTACTCCTGTTTGTGATGTCACTATAGTCCTGTCACAGGAACATTTTAACATATTTTTCTGAATAAATGAATCGATGAAAGTGAATTCAAAATATTGGAATGATATGGCAGGAACTGCAGGTTCTTTGTAGAGGAAGAGCTGATCAGTTATTGGCCCCATGACACACTACTTGATTTCGTTTGTGCAAAATATATAGATAAAATAAATTTAGAACATAAAACTAAAAGCCTAAAATTCATCACAAAAGTTCTGTATTGATGTTCAGCATTTCTTGTCTAATTAGTGATCTGTTTTAGTATAATGTAAGTTTTCACAGCTGTAAATGTATAAGATTCCATCGAAACCATCAGGCAACCCCAGCTATGGAAATGCATATATATGGGGTAATGTGAAAGTAGGCATTTGTCTCTTTTTTTTTTTTTCACCTCCCCACACTGCCTGTGTTGTTTTTTCTTTTCAGTAAAGTTGAATTAGGATAAGTCTTTGGTGATGATATATATGCTGTCTTATAAAGTTATGTTTACATTTCTGTGTAAGTCTAGAAAATTACCTGTTTTTTTCATTTATTTATTGCATTCTGTCAATCCATATAAGGTCAAACCAACCTATTGGATATAGAATCTGTCATGTTTAAACATAAGATAATAAAATATACATTCATAACCATGTTTGAACATAAGATAATAAAATATGCATTCCTAACGCATACAAGGATGAATGAAAACACTAAGACCACTATAAATTAGTACAGTCATATAGAATAATACAAACACTGATACAGTTGTAGTAGATACATAAGCTGTGTAATTATATTATCCGTAGGAGAGACAATCAAGACAAAGTGTTCATTGAGAAGTTGATTTATAGTATTCATCAATACTATAAAAAGCATGTTCAGTGAGATAGTTTTTTAATAAAAATTTGAATTCTTTAATATCTTTGGATAGCAATTTAATGTTTGAGGGTAAGTGGTTATAAATCTTGCTACCCGAGAAGAGCACTCCTTTTTGAACTATTGATAGATTTGTAGAAGGTAAATATAAATTGTGATTATAATGTGTGTTGGTATCATGAATATCAGTGTTAGCTATAAAATAATTTCTGTTCTTAACAACAAAAAGAAGTACGGAGAAAATGTACTGAGACTGAAGTGGCAATATTTGTAATTTTTTAAACAATCCGCAGCATGAATCCAGTCTACCCAAACCAGATAACTCTTATTCTTTTTTGAATTTTGAAGATACTCACATGAGGGGCATTACCCCAAAAGATAATACCATATGACAATAAAGAATGTACACAGGAATAATAGATCATCTTCATTGATTCAAGTGACATAAACGGCTTTATTACCCTTATTGCATAACAAGCCTTCTTTAACCTTGATAAATCCGTAATATGATTCTTCCAAGATAAGGTACTATCAACATTTATTCCCAAGAATTTAGTAGAATTGATATCTGTAATAATTGAATTATTATGTGTAGATATTGTTTGCAATTCTATTTCCCTGTGCTTTTTTTAGAAAGAATTTTATAAGGTATGATTTATCACAATTTAATGTTAGAAAGTTACTATTAAACCACATAATTGTTTCGTTCGGAACTAATTTGATATTATTTTTAAATTCTTCAGAATTCGTGTTTTATATGATAATACTTGTATCGTCAGCAAATAATAGTGGATTACCTACTTTCTTAACGGATAATGGGAAATCATTTATGTAAATAAGGAACAATAATGGCCCAAATATAGAGCTTTGTGGAACTCCATATTTAGCTAGTTCCCAATTTGAAGACACTTTATTAAGTTCGATATCTTTCATTGATACTCAGTGGCCTCCGTAGTCTAGAGGTAACGTTCCCACCTCATGACTCATGGTACGCGGGTTCAAATACCCGGCAGAGGTCGTCGAATTTTTAAGGGTGGAAAAATTCAGGGAACAAGTCCTCCGGGAGGGACTTTAAGCCGTGTGTCCCGTGTTGTAACTTTACGGCACATAAAAGAACCTCATCCCCAAAGGGGATCACTGAGCCAAATTCCAGGACGTTTCCCGCCCAACTATAGTCTTTAAGGCCTCTGATAGATGGGGGAAGCATTATAGACACCGCTAAGCAAGTGGCCGAACTCGCTCGCTCGGCGGGACTGATGGTACACACCATTTATCGGTAGGGTAAAGAGACTGGTAGAATATCATAGAGGGAAGCACAATAGATCAAACTGGTCGCAGTGCATTGGGAAACCCAACCTCTCTAAATAACTAACTAATTTCATTGATACTCTCTGATATCTATTTTGTAAGTATGATCTCATTAACTTCTTTACCATGCCCGAGATTCCATAGAATTCCATTTCTACCAGGAGTATGTTGTGGTTAACACAGTCAAACACTTTTTGTAGGTCACAGAATAAACCACCAACATAATTCTTTTTGTCTAAAGAAGACAATATATTATTTAAAAGAATATGTGTTGCCATTTCAGTAGATGATTTTTCTCTAAATCCAAATTGTTCAGTGACCAATATATTGGCTGCGTGCGTTGTACAAAGCACGCAGCCACAAGAGAAGGACACATCACAAGACGCAGTATACACAAAATATAGGAAGAACGACTCCCATAGTAGAAGATTGATATAATATGCGAGTTTGAAATACGACATATAAGATGATAAATCTTAACAAAATTTTTATATATAAATTTTATTAAGTACATGATGAATATACATTTTAATCATTTTATAAATGACACATGATGGCGAGAAGTGCAATAGTTTAACATAAATAACACACCTGAGGAGGGCACAGTGATGCCGAAACATGTAGTGAAGTGACAAGTGAGATTATGTGCACTAGAAGATGGTCAATACATACACATCATGAAAATAGTTTATGTTAAAATCACCACATAAAATTAATTCATTTGATATTTTATGCACTTTGGTAAGAATTAATTCCATTTGGTTTAAGAAGTAAGAAAAATTTCCCGTAGGGGATCTATACATACAGATGATAATAAAGTGGTTTGACGTAAAATGTAACTTTAAAGCAGAAATTTCAAGGTCCTTCTCTTTATTAAATTGGTCAAGATTAATAACAGTAAACTGAATATTCTTATGAACCATAACACACACTCCTCCGTGGCTATATGTTTGTCTGCAAAAGGAAGTACCTACAATAGACTGACTGAAGTTTAATTTACCTATTTCATCAATTCTCAGGTGATGTTCAGATAAGCAGATGATTTGTGGTGCATTAGCAGATAAGGAAATTAAAAATTCATCAACTTTGTTAATAATTCCTCATATATTTTGATGGAGAATTGTTAATTTGGGTTTTTTATGATCATGCACTATTTTATTGGAGGGGTAATTATTCTTACTATGAACAATGCTGTCAAATTGCCTGACACTATTCTTTTTGGTAGTGTTCACCATAGCTAATTGATTGCACTTACGTTACCCATAAAAAATCATGGGACCTTGTTACTGGAATTTTTGTTGCAATTGGAGCTCCTAGTAGGATCTTTAACTAGGTTTTCTTCACATAATGTGGTATTCTTATCTTGCAATTCTTTGTGCCAACCGAGACTTATTGGAACCTGAACTTTCTGTTCAAAAAAAGACTGCATGCAGGAGGCTATCGAGTAAGTAGCCAGGCTTTTCCCTAATTTATTTCGATGCAGCCCATGATTAGTAAATAACTTTCTATTATTGTCAGTTTTTATCACATTAGCATGGGGAAAAGCTTTTATTAGTTTCTTAATTTTCTTGTTTAAAATAGATATGCTACTATTCACAAAAGCTGTAGTAGGCAAATTGTATCTAAATGGCATGTTCATCACAGCTATATTTGTGTGTTTATTAGATCGTATGAAATTATAGAAATTTCTCGAAAATAATGAGAACTCATTCAATTCATAGTCGTTTGTCCCACTACAAATTGCTATTAAGTCTTCATAAGATAATTTACTAATCTCCTCTTTGGCTGAGTTCTTCAGTTCACAGGAATTAGATCCAGGTTTAACTACACTGTATATCATAATTTTTAGTAAGTAGGGGAGTCAAATTGCATCCATAACCTCTAAAGTGACTGTCGCCAATAAAAATTAACTCTATGTTTATTTGCTAGGGCATAATTATCACTGTTTCTTGTATTAATGGACTGACTTTGAGTATATATTCTCCAAAATGTCATTATACTTCACATCAGGCGTTTGCTTGTTATTTACACAAATTACACCATTCACAGCAGTTGGAATAGTCTGGTCTTCATTTTCTGTTGTTGCCTGGTGGAGGTTGACTTTGGAAGTTCTACTCTTCCTAGGTTCTTTATAATTCTTGTGATTCCTATGTGAAGAACATGATGGAGGTCATCCAGATTTCTGAAGTTGTATTCCAAAGTTAACTTCCTGGGGCTCATGATGGTTCACAAGGGATGTGAAACAATTAATGACTGGAACTGTATACCTAGGTGTAGATGGCAAAGCTTGAGATGAACGCCATATTGGACATGTGAAATTTGATTCCAGAATATTTTATTTCATTGCTCCCAATTTACACTAGCTATAGCATTATGGAAACTGCTCTCCTAAATATACAAACAGAACAATATTTGTAGGTTTTGAGGTTCTCACAGCAGTGGTTATGAATAATTCCATATTCTGGGATTTAATAGTATGAAGTTTGTTGAAAGTCAGCTGACATCTGGGAGGACATGTTGACTGACTACAGTTCTGGGGCTGAAGCATGAGCCAAGCAAGAGACAAGCAGAAAGCAGGCAGCAGGTATAGCCATGCTTGCTGTCTGCTTGATGGTGATTTCTTGTCTGGCTTTCTTCTACTCTGAAGAATTAGATGGTATGCTCCTCCCAGACATCTGCTGACTTCACCAGACTACACAGAATTACCTCACAAATGTAGAACTATTCATAGCCAACACTAAGAGAGCCTCAAGCCTAATCTGTCTGATTTTGTTCAGAAGTCTTACAGACCTACACGCTGTTATCTTCCAGAAGATGGAAATCTTCAGAACAAAATTTGAGGGTGTTTCTTAGTTTCTTGCAGTCAATATCTCTGCAAGCATAGTTACCAGTATTTGAGCCCTTAAATGAAATCCAGTTATTTATGATTTATTTAATGGTGCTTTCACTATATCTGTTCAAAGTCCTGTGCTTAATCACTAAGCTGTGTGGAGAGAGGATGTATACCTGCACACATTTTAATTCTAGCACTAGATTAAGGTGAGTGGTTAGCTTAATGGCTTGGCTGCTTTATGCCTGGGGAAGGAATGCCAGGTAGCAATTGGATAGGAGGCTGAGTGGACTACAGAACTGGTCTCAGCCCAGTAATGAGGCAAATCCTTTGCCTTTGTAAATATAGTAATGCAACTGCTTGTAGTTTATCCCATAGCCTAGTTAACGGTCTTCATATGTGTGTGTATATATAAATTGTTATACAAGAAGTCTTTTATGTACAAGTTGTGAACTTTAATAAATTCTATATTTGATATTAGTTAGGTACCAGTCTCCCGTGCAACGAGAAAATTATATCAAGTGATCGCCATGAAAGTTATTCTACGGAACTGTTGTAGGGCAAACTTTAATTTGCTTATAACAAACTTGGAAAACCAAACCGAAAGCCCTTTGAACTTCGGAAATGAAATGTGGGTGAAGGAAAGGGTATTGGCGGTTATATGTTAAATTTATTCAGTTTGTGCGTGGAACCCTACGTATGCCTAGGGCTTTCTGCTTTGGTTTGGTTGGAAAAAGGCACTACAGAACTAAACTTATGAAAGTGAACATACGTACAATTTGTAAATATATTTAAATTTGTAGCGGGATCAGTGTGCCCAGCATTAAACAAGCGACTTTGCATTTAATGGTGAATATTCCCTTTGGTTTGAAAATGTCCTGTCTTTGGGTTTATTCATTAGAAACGTCATGAGACAGGCGGTTTCCAGAGGACGAAACTGACATAAATGGACGGTACAGTCAATAAGAATCGTAATTAAATACTTGTGTTTAAATCTGTAAATTTGGCTACATTGATAGTACAGAACTTGTTTCCATGGAAACTACGTAATGAGCCAATACACCATCTACTTTGATATAAATAGTGGGACGTGTATGAGGATTGCCGAAAAGCTGTTTTGAAAGAAACATAAAAGAATATTAGTGCATACGTAATAATTATTTTGCAAATATTTCAGCAATAGATGTGTGATTAAAATCTCTCAATTTACAGTGACAGATATCAGCTGTTTGGTGCGTGTTTGTTCCTGCCATTGTTCAGGCGTAGAATAATTTGAATTAATTTTCGCACAATGCAGGGTCTAACATAAAATGTTAACCCAGTGAATTAGATAAAACAAAGATACAAATAAATGAAGTCACCTGAAGCTATGGCAAGTGGGAGAGGAGTGATAAATCTAAGGTTCAATCAAGATCAAGGTTTGTTACAATGAAGGGAGTGATGGGCTTTGCAGCCTAAGCTTGTATTCCTCAATAGAAACACGAAAGCATGATTCAGTTTTAAAATTGTTGTGGAGGGTTTCTTTACATCTAGGAAATTGTGATTTGCCAGGTTATTTATGTTCTGATTCATATAACTGCAACGACATATTGAGCGCTGTTATAAAATTCGTTCTTACTGTTATTGACCTTGGATCCAGGGTTAAGAGAAAAGAATTTTGTTAAAATCCTCGAATGAGAGTTGAGATCATCCTGTACTGGTATGATTTCTTGAATTGTGTTTACTAAACGTAGGAGGTGTAATCAGTACCAAAATAAAATTGTGATAATTCTTATATGTATAAGATATTTTGGAATGACTACTTTCATTCGAATGTTGGAATTTGGTATAGTGGATTTTATTAACTGTAATTGTATGCTTGAATGATGATTGATTAATGTTCGTTTGTTTAATCAGTAATGTTACAATATAAATCCTTGCATGTAGCTGTCTGGTATTACATGTAAATTAGGCTGGGTTCCAAGGTAACAAACACTGAAAAAAAGAAGAATATTTTTAAAATCATAAACTTAAATGTGAAATTTTTCTGCAGGACTGTTTTTGTGCTTTGGTTTATATCAACTTATGAACAAATGTTTTCAGAGGGAAGTCTGGGTACATTTTTTTAATGTTATCAAGCCAAAGTTTTAAATTATTGTGAGCACATTACAAGAATTGTGAGGTAGTGAAGCAGATCTGTACTTTCTGTGTTAATAAACAAGTGACATTTGTTCAGTTAGTCAGGACGTTCTATACCAAAGGTTCATTACTGTGTTGGGATTTTAGGTGCCCATCGAAGTAACTGTAAAAGTACAGTCTTCTGAGTTGTAATGCCAAATATTTTGGAGAGAGTCAGACATTTTGAAGAATATATTGCTGCCATTTTCAGGTTCAGAAAGTAAGCCAAGCAAGAAAGCAGCAAGCAGGAGGTAGCTTACTCCTTGACCCTGAAGGTGAAGCCAGTATGTCCCTCTGAAACTTTAGGCTTTTTCTGAGCTACACACTCCTACAACCTAAAAGGCTTTACCCTTTGTTCATTACCTTGTTCACCGGAGTACGTGATTGGGCCATAGCCTGAGCCAGTTGAGCTCCAATCCACCCTCTTCTATTAGATATATTTCAATACAATTCACTTTAGGTTTCCCAATTGAAATTTTATATGCATTTCTAATATATGATTACCACTCATCCCCTTTGATTTTGTCACCCTAGTAAATGTTTGGTGATACCGGCCTCCGTAGTCTAGAGGTAACATTCCCACCTCATGACTCATGGTACGCGGGTTCAAATACCCAGCGGAGGTCGTCGAATTTTTAAGGGCGGAAAAATTCAGGGAACAAGTCCTCCGGGAGGGACTTTAAGCTGTGTGTCCCGTGTCGTAACTTTACGGCACGTAAAAGAACCTCATATCCCCAAAGGGGATCACTGAACCAAATTCCAGGACGTTTCCCGCCCAACAGTAGTCTCTGAGGCCTCTGATAGATGGGGGAAGCGTTATAGATACCGCTAAGCAAGTGGCCGAACTCGCTTGCTCGGCGGGACTGATGGTACGCACCATTTATCGGTAGGGTATAGAGACTGGTAGAATATCATAGAGGGAAGCACAATAGATCAAACAGGTTGCGGTGCATGGGGAAACCCACCCTCTCTAAATAACTAACTAAATGTTTGATGATAAAAACAAAGCATGAATTGCCTCATTATGTAGTCTGTTCTTTGCATAAGGTAAAATAATTAAAGGCATGTGTTTAAACTTCAGAGGCTTTCATTTATCCCAGGATACACCACGTGACATGGGTGGGATTTTATCCTAGTACCTTTTTGTTTTCCACTGCCAGTTATGCCACTAAGGCTCCATGCTGATCTACAGTCACAGGCCTGCACAGTATCACTCCACCCCTACAACTAAAACAGGCAGTTCCAAGCAGAAATCATAAAGCCTACCAACTTTCATGTTACATAGATTTCTGGTCAGATATATTTTTCTGTTATTATTTTCATTTTAATTTAGTTTTGTGATAATCATATTGCATACACATTTTGTATTCATTAAATTCTGTTCATATAATTTTGAAGTTTCACATAATTCGCACATTTTTAATTGTTGACATACAAACAGTATCCCATGTGTAATGTCTAGGTATGTTCTTCCAAATTTTACATGCCTAGCTCCAATGTTTTTCATTAGTTATCGCCATCAAACCGAAAGCTAAATATGAGTCTCATACCATGGCCAGCTACAGTTGCAGCCAAAAAAAACTTGCTTGTAAAGTGTAATTTATGCCATGTAAGACTATTTTTACTGATTTCTATACGGTAGTGAGGGTAGAAGAATAATTTTTAAGATACTTTTCCAATTTTGGTATTAATATTTGATGTTACTTCTTTTTTCAACTATTTTTATTTTAAAAAAATCCAATGTAGTGAGGAGAGGGGCAGATGTCTGCTCCCTGGCTCCTGTTTGTGCCTATGATGATGAATTCCAGTCTTCAAAGAGATATGGATCTTGATTTCAGGTTGCTTTACATGTTGCATGGAAAGCGGTTTACGTATATATAATGTGGATCCTCTTGTAGAAAAGGCACACTTTGGTAAGTTAACTGTTCTACTATTCTTAGATGTAACTTATTCCATCTTGGTTGAGTCTGTGCACATAAGAAATGAATAGCAAGGTAAAGCTATCCCTGGAACAGGCTGTGGAGGCTCATAGGGTTGTGAGATATCGAGGCTGCCACATTTTGTAGACATTTGGCTCACAGATGGCAGTGAGGTTGTCAGCCTTGTAGTCTGGCCACCCTTTACATCCAGGAAGATTCCTGATAGTCATTTCTGTTAGAGGCTGAGTCGACCCCAGGGTTGTACAATATTATATTTAAGCATCCTGTTACACTCTGTATGATATATGATATAAATTCTGTCCTAAGTGTAACAATTTATTGTAGGTCTTTCATTTTGCCTTCTTCTACACTACATGTTTCGGCCGCAAATGGCCATCATCAGGCTTACAATAAATTGTTACACTTAGGACGGAATTTATATCATATACCAGGGTTGTAGTTCACATGGAATTGAAAAATCCTGGAACTCCTCATGTACCAAATCCACAACCTTCCGGGTTGTAGCATAGTGCCTCAACAAACTACATTACCACATGCCCTGAAATGAAGTATGGTTGTGAATTAATTGTCCACAAATTAATTAGACTGTGGTATTTGTAACAGTTTGTTTGTAATGAAGGGAAGTTCAGATTGTGACACCATGTAGTATCATAGGTGCATACTGATTGCCTCCATCTTCAGAACTTTGACCCAACATCAGCAAAACTAGCCATGTCCATATGATGCAAAGGCACAAGAGCAGAATCAACATTGGCAATGAGAAGTGTTTAAAAGAAAATTCTCGAAATGGATTGTGGGTGAACATCGTGTCTGTTGAGTTTGAAGTTCTTACCGTGGTGACTATGAGGAGTACAGTATTCTGGAATGTAATGTAGTGTAGTCTGGTAGGGTCCACCAACATTTTCAAGGAACATATCACCTCCATCTTCAGGGCTGAAATATAAGCGAAGCCAGAGGCTGACCCCTTGCCAGCAAACCACCTAATTCTTGTTGATTTCTTTCTTGACTAACTTCTCAATCCTGAAGCTGGAGGTGATATGTTTTCTGAAATGTTGGAGGACTCCTACTGTACTACACAGTGTTGCAACTCAGAACACTGTACTCTTCAATGTGCATGTTGCTGTTAATACTAAGATATTGTTATGATTCTAGTGACTAGATGGAGTTTTGACCGGTAACTGGATTTATTGAACTCTTACTACTTGTAACAACAAGTAAGGATTATGATCTCACTGTTCTACACACTTCACAAATCACTACAGGACATATAGATCTTCTCAGTCTGTTACAGTCTTCACTAACCATTGCTTGGTAACGGCTACCAATGGTGGACATCCCCCATCCTCTGGGTTCTCGAACTGTATCTGGCCTCACCTAACAGCTTCTCACAGCAACAGCTCACAACAACTGAACTCCAGTTGTTACATGACTAACTGCAACTCCTAACCTGTGCTGTTTAGAACATCTCAGCATGGACCACAAAGAAAACACTGTTTCTCTGCTGCTGTCTACAGCCCACTGTCTAGTAATGGCCACCTGTTGTGATTCCACGATTCTTATTTTGAGAGAAAATATACCACAATATGTTTATTTTTATGTGATTTACAGATATGGATTTAATGGGGAGTGTAGGGCACTGTGAAATGTTGCATCGTACCAATCTCCTTGCCATCGTAGCTGGTGGTTCCAGGCCAAAGTTTGCAGAAAACACAGTGCTAGTGTATGATGACATTTCAAAAAAATTTGTTCTGGAGTTCACCTTTACAACACCTGTTAAAGCAGTACGACTAAGGCGGGATAAGTGAGTACTCACAACATGCCCTGAAGTTATGTAATTTTATCACATATTTTCAGAGAATATATTTATGTTGTATGTTCGCATGTGCATACATAAATGCATAGACATATGTGTGCATGCAGTCAGGAGCGCTTGTATGAATATGTAGGAGGTGCTGAGTTCAGATCTTAGCCAAAACATTGACTATATTGACTGGAGTTCTTATGGCTTTCCTCTGTGTATCCAAGCAGTTAGGGTGGAGGAGAGCGGCCTCTGTAGTCTAGAGGTAACGTTCCCACCTCATGACTCGTAGTACGCGGGTTCAAATACCTGGCGGAGGTCGTCAAAATTTAAGGGCGGAAAAATTCAGGGAACAAGTCCTCCGGGAGGGACTTTAAGCTGTGGGTCCCGTGTTGTAGCTTTATGGTATGTAAAAGAACCTCATATCTTCAAAGGAGGTCACTGAGCCAAATTATGGACGTTTCCTGCCCAACAGCAGAGTCTAATACCTCTGGTAGATGGGGGAAGCATTATAGATACCTCTCAGCTAGTAGAGCCGGTCTCGCTGGCTGGGTGGGACTGATGGTAAGCACCAGTACCGGTAGGATATAGAGACTGGTAGAAATCATAGAGGGAAGCACAATGGACCAATACAGGTCTAAGTGCATGGGGAAACCCACCCTCTCCAATAACTAACTAACTAACTAGGGCGGAGGAGGGCATCATATTTCAGGCCACAGCGACAGCTTTCCACACCCTTATCAGCCCATTACCCAGTAATTGTCATCATACCAGTTGATGCTAAAGTCTGAGCTATGACAGTGTTGTTAAATGAACCATGAATAAATAAATAAATAAATAAAGCATTACTGATATATACTATGTCTGTCACATCTTCATCATTAGCCATCATTTTCAGGGCAGCAGTTTTCTGTGGTACACCAGTAACATGCTTCTGGAACACTCAGTAAAAAGTAAAAAGTAAAGGTATCCCTGTACCAGGCTGTGGAGGCCCATAGAGTTGTGAGATGTTGAGGTTCCCACATTTTCTAGACAATCAGCTCATAGATGGTGACAAGGTTGTCAGCCCTATGTGTGGGCCACCGTTTACCCCCAAGAATATTCCTGGTACTCATTTCTGTTAGAGGCTGAGTCGACCCCAGGGCCATAGTGCAGCTGGATTAGGTCAATTGAAAAAAATTCTGGAACACTTAAGTATGCACACACATGTATATGAAGGCCAAACATTATAGTGTTACATTACAATTGTATATACCTTAATTTCACATTACTGTATTCTGTGATTTAAAATGAGACATAATTAGTAGGTTCTACCAATGGTGTATAACACTCAGGATTACTGTGCTTTTAGACTTTGTCAATCAGTCATTCGGTATTCTAGAGAACACTAAAGAATGCCGACAAAATTTGGAAACTGGATGTGTTTCCATCCTCAGGTGAGCAGGCGGGAGATACATGCCTTGCTGGGTTATGTTAGAAATGGCTAACCTCAGTCATTAGAATACAGGGTGCTGGACAATGTCCAGAAAGAAACCAGTAATCCAAGAGTCATAACTGTATATATAACATTCAGTGTACCACGTATGTTTGCTTGCAACAGGTTAGTGGTAGCACTGAGCCAGCAGATACATGTTTTCACCTTCCCGTCTCCTGCTCAGAGATTATTCACCATAGAAACACGTGAAAATGTACTAGGGCTATGTGAAGTCAGCCCGTTTCAGACAGCCGAACGGCAGCTTCTCATGTTTCCTGGGCACAAAATCGGCAGTGTAGAACTAGTGGTAAGAATTTATGCTGTCATTAGTTCTTGATGATGATGAGCTTGTGTGATGCTTTTCTCTATACCAAATTTTCAGTTTTCTTAGTATGTTCTAGAGTTGCATGTAGCACTTCGGAGCCCATTGAAATTTTGATGGGAGATTGCTGTAGTTATCGACATTATTGGATTGTAAGCATAAGTCTACTGAGAAGATAGTTTTCATGCATGTGCAACATTTTTCCCATAAAATCAAACTTCATCAAAAATATCCAACCTCTATAAGTTCTGGAAAGACAGCTGCAAATATACCAAGAGACCATACATGATAGAATACAGTTTGCACTGCATGGTGCTTCTCTCTGTCTGTTGCATACGATATGAAACTTTTCTGCAATAGTGGCTCAAGCACAGCTTCAGTTGTCATTTTTTTCCATATTCATAACTACTACCAGCTGAAACTGCCAATGTACATAATATCAGCAAGCATTAATCTTTTACATATAAGGTTTATTTCTTGTGCAGCGCATTAAGGGACATATTAAGCTCACTAAGGAATAGTCACAGTGCTGGACTGTAATGGACAGGTGAGGGATGAATGATTACATTAGACATTGACAGTATTGCTTTTGGGGGGGGGGGG